AATAATAAATAAATAAATAAATAATATATAAGTATATCTATATAGATCATATATACACAATTCTTAATCTACTAGAGTTGTGATGACGCGCACTCACACCCACCCGGAAGCAACAGCACGCACGCACAGCACTCACGCACGCCATATTTATATATATGTTTAATATATATTCTTATCATTTATTTCTTGAATGATTGATTGATGATTTGCAAAATATAGCGGAAGGGCTTGTACTATATCCCGCAAAGCGATCTCTTCGCCCGATCTTTCTCAGCATCTTGCGAATGAGATCGTTGAGGGTCTGCTGTATCACAAGAGTAAGTGGAGTGAAAGCAGGTTGGCACAGGATCTCTGTATGAGTCCTAGTAATCAGTGATCGTAGGAATGCACCTGTTAACAGGCAAACGCGTGAAGGCTTAAGTAGGATAAGGAGGGAATTCTATAGATGTATACTGTGGCATAGTACTAAAAGCTGATACACACGACCACTCAGGCGATAGAACTCAGTGGGGGGGGACTCTCTGTCTCGCTCTCCCTCGCTCTCTCTTCTCTCTCGCTCATGTCTCTCTCTGTCTCTCCTCTCTCTCTCTCTCTCTCTCTCGTTTCTCTCCTTCTTTCTCGTCCTCTCTTCTCTCTTCTCACGTCGCTCTCTCTGTCTCTCTCTCTCTCTCTCCTCATCTCGCTCTCTCTCTCTCTTCTTTGTCCTCTCGTCATGCGCGCTCCTGTCGTATGAAGTCTAGTTTAAACGTGACCGCGCATCGGTGTCTGATCCCCACGCGGCCTGAGCACGGGCGTGAGTAATGACAATGAAGGAGGGGATCTATAATGTAATACTGATGCAATGAGTATAGCGATACGAAGCATCACTAGGCCGATAGAAGCTCAGGGGAAGGGACTCTCTCTCTCTCTCGTCCTCGTCCTCTCTCCTCTTCTCTCTGTCTCTCTCTTTCGTCTCTCCTCTTCTCGTCTCTCTCTGTTCTCTTTCTCTCTCTCATCTCTCCTCTCTCTCTCTTCCTTGCGTTCTCGCTCTCTGTCTCTCTCTCTCTCTGTCTCTTTCTCTCTCTCTCTCCTCTTCCTCTCTCTCTTCTCTCTCTCTTCTCTCTCTGTCTCTGTCTCTTATCTTTCTCTGTCTTCTCTCCTCTCTCTCTCTTTCTCTGTCTCTCTCTCTGTCGCTCTCTCTCTCTCTCTCATCCTCGCGTCTTCTCCTCTCTCTCTGTCTTCTCTCTCCTCTTTCTTAGCAGAAGCCTAGCCTAGCCTAGCCTAGCCTAGCCTAGCCTAGCCGATTAGCAGAAGCCTAGCCTAGCCTAGCCTAGCCTAGCCTAGCCTAGCCTAGCTGACTAGCGGAGGCCTATACCTAGTCCGTAACTAATCAGGCATTGAAACTGATATTGATAATCCAGTTTATCGTAAATGCAGACGATGGTTTTAGAGCGAGGGTTTAAATGATTGTCAGTAAGTGTAGGTACTAGGTATATAGATAATCAGCTGTAAAACTATATAATTACTACTCTTGTCGTCAACACAGCGATAGCATGCCACACGATGAATTTTCCCACTCACCTAGAAATAAATGATCTTCCTTCGGATCATCAACGACCTAATACAAAATGCAAAAAAAGAAGATCATTATCATATCCTATATCCTATATCCTATATCTTCTTATACATATTTCTTAATATTATTATATATATATATATATATATATATATACCTGTCCGTAGACGAAGCAGTAGAGAGTGATTCCTAGCGCCCAGATGTCTAAAGCCATGCCACTGTATTTTCCTTTGTTTTCTAGCGAGGAGAAGTGATCGTATTAGTTATAACACCTCACCACGCTGCTGCTTACTCGATTTAAAATATAAAAATAGATCATCAGTTATATACGCTTATTCCACGGATCGCATCCAACTGCCATCCGATAATATTTATCTTTTATTTTTCCCATTATTTCTATTTGCATCCATATAAGTGATGATAGTATGATTAGAAAGGTAGCTCTTACTACTCATTAATATTATTGAATATTATATTAGCAGTTTTATTCAGTCAGTTATGCCACATAGATTGTATTAGGAATCCATGCAAGAGTAGTTGCCTGCGTCTGTTCTAAATGAATAAAATATGAATGAAAGATTATGAATGAACCGAAACGGGAAAGTAAACAGGAAGTATACCCCTGAGCGCTTCCGGTGCGGTGAAGGCGGGCGTTCCTGTAGAGCTGGTTAGAAGGTCGTTTGTTTCGAACTGGTTGCTCACACCGAAATCTGCTATCTGCAGCAAGCAGATTCACGCGTTATCCTGACATTGAATAGCTAGACACAAAACATTAAAGCAATGTATAACCAAGATCGCGCTTGCACTAACAATATCGCAATCAACTGTCTGCTAAGAATGTGGACAGACCACATTGTAACCACAATGCAATAGCAATCGTAGCAATCGTATCTACAATTTATAAAGATTTGCACCATTCGATTCGACCACAAACCATGAAATTCATTAGTACAGACGTGTCGCGTTTCTACAATTCATACACAATATAAGAGCAGCATAAGACGGTGTCAATCGATGGCAGGAATGATTGCGTGTGCTTATTGCTTGCCGGGGAACCCATGTGTCACTGACAATATCTACGATTCAAGTCATGTCGTGAATCGGTAAGAGCGCCTGGGTGCGTAATAACAGGCTCACGTTTGCAATATTTACAAGATCATATATATTGCACGGCAGCTAATACGCGTCAGTGCGCGCGAGGGTATATATGTCATCGGTTATGCTCTCGTGACCTGATTCTCCGTCACGTACCTTGACGTGTCCGTCGTCACCAAGCAACAAGTTCTCCGGCTTGATGTCCATGTGAAGAATCTTCTGCATGTGCACTGCAAGGCGTAAACAATCCATGGCTAAACGTCGGCAGATATATAATTATTCCTCTTACACACGCATGCACGCACGAACGCATGCATAATCACGCACGCACGCACATATA